ATTTAATGACTAAGTTAAAAAGTATAAATTAGAAAATACTTAACTTAACTGTTACACTAACAAACTTAGCTCAAGAACCCCATAAGTTAACCATACTTTTGGACATAACTTCAGAAGCTTCTGCTTTAGATTAATAACAAATTCCGATTACATCAAACTACTGCTTCTAACTAAGCAGTCTCAGAAGCTTACAACTTTTGGCTAACAACCTCAGAAGTTCTATTGCTTCTGAATAACAACATCTTCTGAATATGAATTACTTCCAACATCATCCCTTAATTTATATTCAGCTAACCAAAAAATTACAACATCAATTTCATCCCTCAAACAGATAAAGTGTTCAGTCTTGACATCCTTCGTCAGAACATCTGCAAGTTCCTTCTGATTGCTACGATGTGCAACTCCATTCAGAAATGCATATTTCAGCTTGAAGATCCATCTAAAGCTGATGTTTTTCTTCTTCTTCGGAAGCTCAGTTAACTTCCAAGTCTTATTTCTTTTAATAGCATCAAGCTCTTCTTTCATAGCCTTCAACCACACTCTTCTTCTTGAGAGCTTCACAAGTTAACAACACAACCACCGGTTGCTTCTTGCAGCGCCAAGAAATGGGACTTCCCAGATACTTGAAAAAATATCCAAAAGTATTTCTTCTGTCAACTCTATCTCCATACCAATCAGAGTCTGGATAGCATATCAGCTCTGGATCAGTCTTTACATTAGAAGGGAACAACACTTCATACCTCAGAGTCCCTTCAACAGCTTGTCAAATTCTACAAATCTCCTTGATATTTGTCTGATTTGTTGTGGCATCAGGATTTGTTCAGAATCTCCTTCTGATTCTGGAACAATATCTCCTTCTGGACTTTCTTCATAAGTTTGACTACCACTAGAAATACCACCTTCATAAATTGGATCGCCTTCAAAAACTCTGCCTTCAGAAGTTCCACTTTCAGAATCATGATCACCGTCAAAGGTTGGATTACCTTTAGAAGCTCCTCATTCAGAAATTCCACCTTTAGAGTTAGGATTACCAACAGAAACGTGATCATCTCCAGAAGCTTGTCCTCCAGAACCTACGTCTTTAGAGTTTTCCCTTCTAGAAGCATGATCACCACCAGATTCTGGATCATCAAAATCTGGACCAAAATCAGATTCATCATCTGACTCATCTTTATAGTATCCAGAAGATTCTTCATCTTACGACTCTGACTCACCTTCAAAACTTTCAAGTTCTGACTCATCTTTAAAAGCACAATCTTCTTCAGATTCTGACTCATATTCTGATTCTTCTTCAAACTCAGAATCACCTTCAGATTCTGACTTGTCTTCAGCTTCAAAGTCATCTGCTAACTCTGACTCATCTTCAGGAACCTCAGATTCTAACTCATCTTCAGAATCTTCAGCGTCATCTTCCGATTCTGACTTATATTCAAACACTTCTTCAGAGTCAGAATATTCAGAGTCATCTTCTTCCTCTTCAGAATAAAAAATGATAATCTCACAGGTTCCTCATCAGATTCATAAGCCATTAATAACATATGTTCATCATCTGAATCTTCTCTGGCTATTTTTGCTTCTTCTTTGTTTGACCAACAATCTTTAGCAAAGTGGCCAAACCTATTACAACAGTAACATTGAACCATTCTCTTCTCATACTTCTCCTTTCCCTTTTGATATTTCTTTTCATCAGAATAGAAGACTTCTGACTTCTGAGACCTACCATGTTTTCTCTACTTATGGTCTTCTTGACAAAAGAAGCTTTTAGAGCCTCCTCAACCTCCCTCTGAGAGGTTCTCTCAGTCAGACCCAACTCTTACGCCTCTAGACTGCTTTGCAGCTCTTCTATTCTCATGGTGTCCAGATCTTTAGAATGTTCAATTGCTACAACAATGTAATCAAATTGAAGAGTAAGCGACCTCAATACCTTCTTTATGATTACTTGTTTAGAAAGGGTTTCTCCACAAGCTTTCATCTTATTAGTGATCAGAATCACTCTAGAGATGTACTCAGAAACCTTCTCATTGTTCTTCATGTTGAGATTCTCATAATGCTTTTTGAGAGACTGAAGTTTCACCTTCTTCACTGATGCTCACCATCGTAACACTTACTCAGTGTGTTGCATGCAGCCTTCGTCGTCGTCGAATCAACAATTTTCTCAAACACGTTATCATCCACACATTGATGGATGAAGTTCTAGAAGCATGATCACCACCAGATTCTGGATCATCAAAATCTGGACCAAAATCAGATTCATCATCTGACTCATCTTTATAGTCTCCAGAAGATTCTTCATCTTCCGACTCTGACTCACCTTCAAAACTTTCAAGTTCTGACTCATCTTTAGAAGCACAATCTTCTTCAGATTCTGACTCATATTCTGATTCTTCTTCAAACTCAGAATCACCTTCGGATTCTGACTTGTCTTCAGCTTCAAAGTCATCTGCTAACTCTGACTCATCTTCAGGAACCTCAGATTCTGACTCATCTTCAGAATCTTCAGCGTCATCTTCTGATTCTGACTTATATTCAAACACTTCTTCAGAGTCAGAATATTCAGTCATCTTCTTCCTCTTCAGAATAAAAAATGATAATCTCACAGGTTCCTCATCAGATTCATAAGCCATTAATAACATATGTTCATCATCTGAATCTTCTCTGGCTATTTTTGCTTCTTCTTTGTTTGACCAACAATCTTTAGCAAATTGGTCAAACCTATTACAACAATAACATTGAACCATTCTCTTCTCATACTTCTTCTTTCCCTTTTGATATTTCTTTTCATCAGAATAGAAGACTTCTGACTTCTGAGACCTACCATGTTTTCTCTACTTCTGGTCTTCTTGACAAAAGAAGCTTTTAGAGCCTCCTCAACCTCCCTCTAAGAGGTTCTCTCAGCCAGACCCAACTCTTACGCCTCTAGACTGCTTTGCAGCTCTTCTATTCTCATGGTGTCCAAATCTTTAGAATGTTCAATTGCTACAACAATGTAATCAAATTGAAGAGTAAGCGACCTCAATACCTTCTTTATGATTACTTATTTAGAAAGGGTTTCTCCACAAGCTTTCATCTTATTAGTGATCAGAATCACTCTAGAGATGTACTCAGAAACCTTCTCATTGTTCTTCATGTTGAGATTCTCATACTGCTTTTTGAGAGACTGAAGTTTCACCTTCTTCACTGATGCTCACCACCGTAACACTTACTCAGTGTGTTGCACGCAGCCTTCGCCATCGTCGAATCAACAATTTTCTCAAACACGTTATCATCCACACATTGATGGATGAAGAACAATGCCTTCTGATCTTTCTTCCTTGTATCTCTCTGTGCATTTCTCTGTTCCTCCGTCGCATCTACTGCAACTAGAACATAACCATTTGTAACAAGCTCAAGAACATCTTGAGCACCAAATAACACACACATCCGAATTATCCAATGATTCCAATTTTTACCATTAAATACTGGAAGCCTGGCGCTTAGACTATCATTTTCGGTCATCTTCAACCTTGTACAGAACACTTAGATCTCACAAACACAGTGTTTCCCAATCCCAGAGAGTCAGAAAGTGTGATTTTGTTCAAGATTCAACATGAATTCAAGAACCAAAATCTCACACAACGCCTCACCGTTTCACTCGTGTTTCCCGTGGATTCTAACCGGAGCTCTAGATACCAATTTGTTGGTGCACAAGGTTAATAAATGAAGGAAATATAAGAGAGAATATATTTACTACAATGATGGTTATAAAGTTGACAAAAGGAATGATACAAATGATTGCTACTACTAGTCTATTTATACACAAAGTAAATTGTCACGTAGACCCTAATAAAAGTAAATTTAACGACTAAGTTAAAAGGTAAAAATTAGAAAATACTAAACTTAACAGCTACGCTAACAAACTCAGCTCTAGAATTCCTGAAGCTAAGCATACTTCTGGACGTAACCTCGAAAGTTCTGCTTCTGATTAATAACAAATTCTGATTACATCAAACTACTGCTTCTAACTAAGCAGTCTTAAAATCTTACAGCTTCTAGCTAACAACCTCAAAAACTATACTGCTTCTAAATAACAAATCTTTTGAATATGAATTAGTTTCAATATTATAAATCAAAAGTAGGACATAATAATAGTGAAAATGGTATTAGATGAATAAGTAGAAGATAATATGAGATGTCTTTTTTTTTTTTTTTACCAATTATATATATATATATATATATATATATATATATATATATATATATATATATATATATATATATATATATATATATATAAAATAAAAAAGATATAATCTGATTAATAGAAGAGAATATGAAAAGAATAATCTTTTTATCAAATGTATGCGAAGAAAAAATTGTGATTTTATAAATAAAAAAATAAGAAGCATGAATAGTGAAGAATTATATAAATGGAATAAGTAGAAGAAAGTCTGTATGAAATTAATCTTTTAATCATTATGACATGAAAAATGAGAGTTGTGAATTGTGATGAATTATGAGCGTGAGAATCAAATTGATGTAGGGAATCAAAAATTACGTATCCAACTTTTAATTTTAATAATTAATTGGAGCTGTGGAAACGTGAATAAGAAATATCCGAATCTCTTTGGTTTAATTTAAGTTCCATTCAGTTTCATCATTAACCAAACAAAATGATTAGGTGAACGTCCGTGATCAGATGAAATGAGAAAAATCACACATCACATAACACACGTGAAACACAACCTCTTTCACACCCCCCCTAATTACTGCAATTAATATTATCAATCTTCTTTTTTGCGCCATTTTTCTCGATCTAAACTCCTAAATCAACCCTATCCGTTGATCTTCATCTCTGTTATTCTGCGCATTAACAGGTTCGCATTTCTCCTATTCTTATTATCTTACTGTATCAATTCAATTTAATTCTAACTTCATTTGATTTCATTTCATTTCTATCAATGTTGTTTTAAAATGATTTCTGAATTAATTTAGGGTTTTTATAAGGAATTGGAAAAATTGTGATGGATATTGAGGAAGAAAAGAAGGTGTTGGACGTTGGGGTGTCTGAAGAGAGTGCTGGGAGGTGTATTGAGTTGAAGAATTTGGAAGGAGATGATGTTTTCGAGGAAGCTATAGATCCGGTTAAACATTTAAGTGATCAGGTTGATGATATTGTTGGTGAAGGCGATGTTGCTGTTACTGTTAGTGCATTGCCTTTGGTTTTGGTTGATGAAATTCATGATAATGTGGACGAACTTGATAACTTTCAAGATGCAATTGAGGTTGTTGAAATTTTGAAGGGTGAAAAGGAAGTTGAAGTGGTTGCTAATCAGGATGTGCTTGAGGATCCGGGTTTGGAAAGTAGTAGTGGAAAGGAAATTGCTGATTTAAGCAATGGTGGAAGTATGGTTTTTCAGGAGGCTGGAGATTTGGTGAATGGAAACTCTGGTTTATTGGGTGGGAAGGATGAAAATGAGGATCTTGAGTTCATGACTCCCAAACAAAATGGTGGTATGCTTTTTGGAAATGGGAGCATAGACAAGATTCATACAGAATCTGGGTCTGATGAGGATATCAGAAACCAGGGTGCTGATGCTGGCTTGGATCCCAATCTTAGGGATGACAAAATAGAGGAACAGTGTAATGCTTCTCGCGAACGTTATGGTGAAATTCAAAATGATTTATATGAAAATGCATCCGGACATTCATCTCACGGGGATTTAGAACCTAATGATGAAATATTTAAAGAAATGAATGATGAGACCATTGGCACTGATATTAGCCACGGAGGTTTAGAACGTAATGGTGAAATATTTATAGACATGGATGATGAGACCATTGGCACTGATATTAGCCACGGGGTTACGAATGGGAAAGAAATGGGAATATCTCATATTCAGAAGACTGAATGCAAAGATTATGGTAATGAGGAAACTAAGGATGATGATGCTGGATCAAGTTTAGAGCATCTGGAAACAATTGGTGAAACAGGAGGCTTTTCTCCGGTTGTAGATGAAAGAAAAGTGATTGAAACTGTTGGAAGCTCATCCCTATTAGAAAATTCTTTTGCTACTGAGATGCCGGCTGTGCAGACTACTGCAACTAATTCAGAAGAAGAAAGCATGGATGTTTACAGATCTAAGGTTTCTAAAGAAGAAAGTCAAGGAAATAATGAAAACTTATCTGTTGTTGGGGAACCTAAAAAGATACTTGAGAATAAGCCGAAAGAGAAACAAACGACTCAGATCACTAAAGAACAGAATAGTGAGTTTGTTTCATCATCTGGAAAATCTGTTGCTACTAGCACCCCTCTTGTTCATCCTGCTGGCCTCGGATCTGGAGCTCCATTATTGAAACCTGCTCCCCGAGTAGTGCATCAATCGCGGGCGAATTATACTGTATCTAATACGCAGTCCCAAAAAATGGAAGATTCTTCAACTGTGGAGGCTGGGGAGTATGACGAGACTCGAGAAAAACTTCAAATGATTAGGGTCAAGTTTTTGCGGCTAGCTAATAGGTTCGGGCAGACTCCCCACAATGTTGTTGTGGCACAAGTTTTGTATAGATTAGGACTGGCTGAACAACTCAGAGGGAGGAATGGGGGCCGTGTCGGCGCTTTTAGCTTTGATCGTGCTAGTGCAATGGCCGAGCAACTTGAATCAGCGGGTCAAGAACCACTTGATTTCTCTTGTACAATAATGATTATTGGAAAGACTGGAGTTGGAAAAAGTGCAACTATCAATTCTATCTTTGATGAAGTTAAATTTAATACTGATGCTTTTAATATGGGAACAAAAAAGGTTCAGGATGTTGTGGGAACAGTACAGGGCATTAAAGTCCGAGTCATTGATACACCAGGACTTCTACCTTCCTGGTCAGACCAGCGACATAATGAGAAGATCTTGCACTCTGTCAAGCGCTTTATTAAGAAATCACCACCTGATATTGTGCTGTATCTTGATAGAATAGATACGCCGAGCCGGGATTTCAGTGATATGCCACTCTTACGCACGATTACTGACATTTTTGGACCATCCATATGGTTCAATGCTATTGTGGGTTTGACTCATGCAGCATCTGCACCACCTGATGGCCCTAATGGTACTCCTTCCAGTTATGACATGTTTGTCACACAGCGCTCTCATGTTGTGCAGCAAGCCATTCGTCAAGCGGCTGGTGATATGCGCCTCATGAATCCTGTATCGTTGGTGGAGAACCACTCTGCATGCCGAATCGATACGTCCGGCCAAAGAGTGTTGCCTAATGGTCTGGTTTGGAAACCACATCTGTTACTCTTATCTTTTGCATCAAAAGTTCTGGCTGAAGCAAATGCTCTTCTTAAGTTACAAGATAGTCCACCGGAAAAGCACTACACAGCTCGCACAAGAGGGCCACCATTACCATATCTTCTTTCATCCCTTCTGCAGTCAAGACCGCAGTTAAAGTTGCCTGAGGAGCAATTCAGTGATGAGGACAGTCTCGATGACGGTCTTGATGAGCCATCAGATTCTGGTGATGAAACAGACCCTGATGACTTACCGCCATTTAAACCTTTGACAAAGGCCCAGATCAGAAACCTTTCTAAAGCTCAGAAGAAAGCATATCTAGATGAGATTGAGTACCGAGAAAAGCTTTTTATGAAGAAACAACTAAAGGATGAGAAAAAACAACGAAAGATAATGAAGAAAATGGCAGAATCGTTAAAAGACCTGCCAAGTGATTATAGTGAAAATGCCGAGGAAGAAATTGGTGGTGCAGCTTCTGTTCCTGTTCCCATGCCAGATATGTCCTTGCCCGCTTCCTTTGATTCTGAGACTCCCACTCACCGGTATCGTTTTCTTGATTCATCCAACCAGTGGCTTGTAAGACCTGTCCTAGAAACTCATGGCTGGGATCATGATGTGGGTTATGAAGGCTTAAATGTAGAGAGATTGTTTGTTCTTAAAAGCAAGTTACCCTTGTCTTTTAGTGGTCAAGTTACCAAGGATAAAAGGGATGCTAATGTTCAGATGGAAATAGCCAGTTCAGCTAAGTATGGAGAAGGGAAAGCAACTTCGTTAGGTTTTGATATGCAGACAGTTGGAAAAGACTTTGCTTACACATTGCGCAGTGAGACAAAATTTTGTAATTTTAGAAGAAATAAAGCAACTGCGGGTCTCTCATTTACTCTCTTGGGTGATGCGTTGTCAGCTGGAGTCAAAGTCGAAGACAAGTTGATTGCTAATAAGCAATTTGAGGTTGTTATTGCTGGTGGTGCAATGACAGGGCATGATGATGTTGCTTATGGTGGCAGTTTGGAGGCCCGCTTGAGAGATAAAAATTACCCTCTAGGACGCTCTTTATCAACGCTTGGGCTTTCCGTTATGGATTGGCATGGAGATCTTGCTGTTGGGTGCAACTTACAATCACAAATTCCCATTGGACGGTATACAAACCTTGTTGCACGAGGCAATTTGAACAATCGTGGGGCTGGACAGATAAGCATTCGATTAAATAATTCAGAACAGCTTCAAATTGCTTTGATTGGTCTCATCCCTCTACTTAAGAAGATTGTTGGTTATTCTCAACAATTGGAGTTTGGACAATGATGGCGGTGTTAAATTATGGGAGCTGCAACCCCTGCACCGTAATAGGTAATTAATTTAAGATGACATCTCTCGTTAGAAGCTTTGAAACAAGAAAGATGCTATATTTTGTTTTCATGTTTTCTATACCAAAAATGTCCTATTACTTGATCATAGCCATTGTTGTCTCCCTTGTTAGATAGTATCTTTTGGTATTCTTTACATTATGCTTGCAGGACTCCAAGTAATGCATCTTTTTTTTACTTATATCTTCCTCATATATATGCATATAGATTTTTCAATTGAAAGCGTTGTCTTTTGCCCTGCATATTGTCAGAAGCACTCTTCCATGTTAATTTTTATTGTCTTGTGGTCACTTTTTTTTGTACCTTAAGGGTATATGTTTGGGTTGATAATTTTGGATGGCTAAGTGTATGTTTGGTTCCACTTTTGGAGAAGGTAGAATCAATTCTAGAGTGTAGAATTGATTCTGAAATGATTTTGAGGTGTTTGTTTCTCTTAAAGTAGGATTGATTCTGACTCCATACTTGAAGTTACAATTTGTAGCTTTTGAGTTTAAACGTGATTTTTACATTGAAATTTGTTATTTAACTCATTTTACATAAATGTATCCAAACATAAATCACTTTACATCAAACTTACTTTTAACTAAAATCAATTCTACAAAATCAATTCACTCGTAATCAATTTTTTTCGCCGCAGAACCAAACATACACTAAGTCTATATTTTAGTATATGTTTGAGATTTTAATAGAACGGAAAGAATAACATGATAGATAGTTATATAACCTTTCAATCACATTCAATTTATGTTTAGACACGATTTATAGCTTCTTTAGTATACAAAAGAAAAATAAGTCCTCTAAACATACCCTTAGGATCTATTTTTTGGTTCTCCGCATATTACACTTTGTGCCTTCGTGGTTTGTTTCTTCTTAGAGATTTCTCTTCTGATTTTCTACCTTATATGTGTTGTTTCCTCAATTTGCTCTATATTTTAGTTAAGATTTATTGTTTTTTCCTCTTTCCTAGTATATAACAATTTTCACCGAGCATTCGATTCGGCGTGGCCATACAACAACAACTACACCTTATCCTATTAGGTGGAGTCGGCTAGATGAATCAACTTTTGCCATAATGTTCTATCAAAGACCATGCTTCTATTTAAAAGAAGTGAATTTTGGCCATAACAAGTCAATTTTGGATTTTAGCACAACATCCTATATAGGCATAATCTTCTACTTTTTATTCAGGTAATGTAACTCTTTTGAGCTTTTCATTCTTTAAATGCATGAGAGTAATGCAACGATTCATAACATGAACTCTTTCTTTGGAGAGGTTGATATAATTGAAGTTGCTTTTGTAATATAACTTAATTGCCTCTCTTTTTATTCTTCTGTTTCAGAAATATATATTTTTTTGTAGACTTATGGCATGGTGCTATGGTATAATAATAAAATTTCAGAATAGAATTTAATCATATATTCTCATACATATTTGTGCTTGTCACGAATGACAGATATATTACATCTTACCCTATGGCATCGGTTATATATTTTAACCAGTCATATCTATGTCAGCAGAATGGTTGTAAACTAAAACATAGTTGAATTTGTGATTATGTGTGTCTAAATTATTAGACTGCAGTCACATTTATTTATACTAGCATATAGAATAAATTACATTAAGTATTGGTTTATATAATTTGCTATTTCTAATCGCAATAATAAATTGTAATCCTAAGGATTTGACTCCTCCTAAGTTAAAACTTATTAAGTTCTAAACTTGTTACACATATACACTGCATGAACTAATAATGGGAAACAAGGTGTGGAACGCACCTCCACTAAGAGATCTAAATGCCAAACTAGTGCTGATAATATGAGAAGGTATGTTAAGAACATGAAGCAAAGAATAAGATATGATTATACTAGTTCATTGGAAAACTATCAAGTTAGTCTAGTCAATCCGTCAAGGTGATTTCGTCTTATCAAATAAGGACTTAATCCAATAATCAAACTGATTATTACAATGCACAAGCTAACTGCTAGTGACTAACGTTACAACCTCTAAGACACACTAATCTTAGACTTCTCAAGAATTCTGACATAATTGGTCCCTTAAGGAAAATCAAACAACTGTTTGAACAAATTTTGTTTACAAGAAATTATGCTTCTACACAAGCGGATATGTAAACAATAATTTTAGAACATAGACTAGAGAAATATGAAAGTGTATGAACAGTCTCTTTAGAATGTGAATTGGCGTGAATTAGCAGCTTTTTTCTTAGTCTTCAAGCCATTTATATAGCCAATAAAATAATATATCCGTTGAGGGTACTCTTGGGATTTTCAAAATCTTTGGCGGCTTGAATCACATGGGGGACAAGATCGTACGCAGCGTCCGTCCTTCATGATAGTGGAATGAAATGTTTTAATTGTACCATGTACTATTGTACCACGTTAACATTATCTTCTTTCCTTCTGTACTTCAGAGGCTTCTGCGAGCATGAGCTTAGAAGAGAGAATATAACACTAAGGTCATCAGAACTTCAAGTCTTCAGAGTCTTCAGAACTGCGTCTTCAGATTCTTCAGCACTTGGTCTTGAGAACCTTTTCTAGAACCTTGGGTCTTAAGAACTTCAAGTCTTCAGAGTCTTAAGAACTCCGTCTTCAGAATCTTCAGCACTTGGTCTTGAGAACCTTTTCTAGAACCTTGGGTCTTCAGAACTTCAAGTCTTCAGAATCTTCAGAACTTCGTCTTCAGAATCTTTAGCACTTGGTTTTGAGAACCCTTTGTCTTCAGAAACATAAGTCTTCAGCATCTGGACTTCAGTAAAAGCTTCTGTCTTCAGATCTTCTGACTGGTTTCTTTAGAACATGTTGTCTTCAGAAACAAGAGTCTTTAGCATCTGGACTTCAGTAAAACTTCTGTCTTCAGATCTTCTGTCTTCAGATCTTCTGATTGGTTTCTTTAGACTTCATATCAGAGCCTACACTTCAGAATCTTCTGGAGTGTCTTGTTACTGTTCATTAAAACTTGTGTAGCACAAAAGCGGAACTTGTCTCTTCTAATGTCTTGGCCACGCCATTCATCAGAAGCAGAACCTGTTTGTTAGATACTCACAAGTAACACACATTAGAGTACAAAAATTGTTCATACAAACATACTAATTTGTTATCATCAAAACTCAGAGATAATATTGCAGAACCAAATCTTGTTCTAACAATCTCCCCCTTTTTGATGATGACAAAACTATGTATTTTGATGACACAATTTTGTAAATAATCAGAAAAAGTGAGAATCAAAAAATAGGAAACACTTATCCTTTTTATGAAACTCTCCCTGAGTCAAAGACTTGATGAAGATCAAATATCCTGATTCTGAACCATTTGAGTGAAAACTCCCTCTGGTTGCACTAGATCAAATATAAGAATCTTGAGAGTCTTGATGTCAATCATACCAATTATGATCTTGAAACTTTAGCGTCACTAAGACATATTCCAGTTTCTCAATTCAGAGCTTGGTTATGAATAGTCTGATTATGAACTTAAGAACTTCTCAGAGTCTGAATCCAAAAGTTAGACAAAAGCCTTGCTTAACACTTTCAAGTCTGGATTCCAATCAGAGTTCATGATTCCTGAAAAAGAAAACAATTCTAACAGAAACAGAAGTTTAACTGGGTTAGAATGTAAGCAGGTCTTTTTCAGAGACGTTTTCCAGAATTTGATTATCAGAATCAAAATATTACTTTCAGTTATTTACTCTCCCTTTTTGTCATAATCAAAAAGATAATTATGTGTGAAAAACATAAAAATGGAAGAAATAAAAGAAAATAAGAAGTGATAAGCTAAAATAAACTTCATTGATATTCAACCAGCAGAATGAAAAACATCAGAAAGAAAAAGGAAAACAAAAGAAACAATAAAAGTCCTATGGTTCAAAGCAAAAGGGAAAATAAATCCTAAGAGCCTAGTGTTCAGGAGCAGGAGCAGGAGCAGAAATCTTTTGTAGAATCAGTTGTAGCATGTTCTGAACATTTCTCATTGACAGTCTTCTATTCAATGATGCTTTCTCTGAAAATCTGTTGTTCTTCTCTGATTTCACCAATTGCGGTTTCCAAACGTGCAATGGAAGAATCAGAAGAAGATACCACTACAACATCTTGTCTTATTTTATGAGCTTCTTCTGCCTCTTTAGTCAATCTGACTTCTTCTGCCTCTTGAGCTTTAAGCCTAGTTTCCTCTGTCTCTTTTAGCGCTCTAGCTTCTACTTCTCTTTGTTTTGCAGCAATGAGTTGGAAGACTCTGATTCTTTCCTATCTTTCTGTCACCGTCTGAACAACAACAATTCTGGATGCTTCAGAGAAGGTCTTTAGTCTTTCAAACTCATAAGACATCCACTTCTGAAACAGTTTTCATGAAACATCCATGTCATGAGGCTTAGTACTAGTACTTGCCCCTGTCCTTAGCTTTGCAACCTTTTTCTTAGCCAAACATGTTAATGCATTCATCCAAGGTTTTTGGAACAGGATTTTCATAGACAATTAAAGCAAGCTCAGAAGAGGTTGGTTCACAAGTATTGAGTGCAGATGGTTGTGGTTCAGAGGATTGTTGGTCAACAAGATCAATGATTTCAAAAAAACTGAATGGTTCGGTAGTGGGGATTTCCAAATGGTCAGAAATGGTCCTTTCAGGCATTTCATGATCAGAAGGTGAATGAGGATCAGAGTGAATAGTGGGTGAGTCAATGTGGATTGGAGCTGGATTGAAAAAGGCAAAATCAAATGATTGAGTAACTGGTGGTGGTGTAGTAGTTTCAGAAACGGGAGTAATGATGGTTGGGGTGAATGTAGGAATAGGTTCTGATGAAATGGGTGTAGTGAGAGATGGAATAGGGGTTGAAGCAGGTGCTTGAGTTGTTGAAGGGAGTGTGGTGGTGGCAGGTTGAGATTCATAAATGGTGGTGGTTTGTGGTGAAGTAGAAACATTTGAAGTGAATGG